GAGTCTAGCAGAGCAGTTACTGGCTTTTCATCAATTGCAATCACACACATTTGTTTTTCCATGCGTTTCTGACATGCTGCAGTACATACCACCTGTGCAAAAAGAGACATGCGTTTTCCTACATACGCATTTTCACATTGCATAGGTTCATCATTTAAAGGACAGTTTGCAGCAATATGACCTAACGCATGACACCGATAACATTTGATATGTTCAGTACCTAACCCTCTAAACGGCTTTGGGGACCTTCCTGACCTATTTGGCCAGTCTCTAGGTCCTAAGCCTACAGTCTCATTATCTGACACAATAGTCTTATCATTTTTTTCTGAGCCTTTGGCCCATGGAACAGTCTTACCGGATCTTCTGGATATAAATCAAAAATGCAGCGCTACAGAACCAAGGTATTTAGGTGAAGGCAGATGAATGATTCAAATGAATGAATGAATAAAATCAATAAATGACTGAATAGATGCAACAGTTCATAAAATAAGGTGACTTTTAGTGCTCTCCTCTGTCATATCCTCCTGATGCTCAGGCGTTGTGCAAAATAGTGCTGAAGGAATGCACACTCACCAGAAACGAACAGGAAAATGAGCGTTTGTCAATATATGTTCCCCTTAGAGTCATCAACTGGTCAGGATAAGGTAGTATGCTAGCCTCCCTCCAGAGCTCCTGGATACTCCTGTGTGATCCCTTGGTAGGTGGGCCTATGGACTTCTCCTTGAAGCTTACATGCGTTCCTTTACCCAACGGAGAGGTGAATGACTGCAAATGGATACTCCCCATAAACTTCTGGATAGTTTCCCACCCCTAGTGACATTGGGGTATGGCCTAGGTGAATGAAAAAAATCCTCAGCGGCTGCATATCTCTCCACCAGGTCCACCAGCTCGTTTGCAGATTTAGGGTCTCCATGGCCAACCCACTTCCTCAAAGTGGCAGGGAGCGCACGTAAATATTGGTCCATGACCACACACTCCACAATCTGAGGGCCTGACAATACCTCTGGCTGGAGCCACTTTTTGGAGAGATGTATTAAATCGAACACCTGAGATCTGGGTGGTTTGTCAGCCCTGTAATGCCACTGATGCACCCGCTGAGCCCGGACTGCTATGGTGACACCCAGGCGTGCAAGGACCTCAGCCTTCAGTTTTTCATAGTCCTGGGCATCCCCTGGTTCCAGGTCATAATAGGCTTTTTGGGATTCACCTGTCAAAAATGGTGCAAGCAGTCCTGCCCATTGTTCCTTTTTCCATCCTTCCTGAACAGCGACCCTTTCAAAAGTTGTGAGGTAGGCCTCCACATCATCCGCAGGTGTCATCTTCTGCAAAACATAGCTGGCCCGTGCCATTTTCTGCTCTACTGGCAGCGGATCTGCAGATTCCTTCTTTAATTCTAATAGGTGTTGGGCCACCTGCTTAAGGAGCTCTCGGTCTGCTTCTTGGGCCTCCGCAAACTGGCGATTTGTCTCCCGTTGTGCTGCATTGGCCTGCAGCAAGGCTCTTATTATTTCCTCCATCTTCCCACTTGCTCAGGAAGTTGCCCGCCAAATCCACCATATATGGGGTTAGCTCAGGTGGGGGATCTCCTTCCCTGGGAAAAAGGTAGACCGCACCGCAGGCTTTCGTCAAAATCTGACTGGTTGTCAGCTTTATTTAAAAGGTTTGCAGAAAATATCAAAATAAAGAAAACATCAAAATAAACCCTTGCCATCCAGGCACTAACTAAACAAAAGACATTTCCTCTCTCAGAGGTGAAGGGCTTCTCCCTGTCACCAAAAACAAAACAAAAGCAAACCTTTTCTTGTAGGTATAGTACACACACACAGCTCTCTCAGAATACCTCTGAGTCCCAGGCCACGAGCAACTCCTTGCTCCAGCCCTGCCCTTTTTGTATCACCTGTTGGTGGTCATTAGTGGAGCCCAAACTCTGGTCCGGAACCACCTCTGCCATTGTGGCCCCGAAAACCCGGAGTGGACTCCACCTTACACCTCACAGTATGACCTCATGCGAGGTGACACATATCGTCCATCCATCACTTTGCCGTTCATACTGTCACATATATATATATATATATATATAAATGTGTGTGTATGTGTGTGTATATATGTATATATATGTGTGTATATGTATATATTTTGTAATAAAAACACATTTCAACATACAGTGTGTGTGTGTATATGTATGTGTATATATGTGTATATATATATGTATGTGTGTGTGTGTGTGTATGTATATATATATATATATATATATATATATATATATATATATATATATATATATATAATACGGCCAAAATTGTAGCATTTCAAATATGTCAATATATTTGGGAAGAATATTTGTAAAATATATTTCAAAATATATTTCAAATGTATTTTTCTTCCATGTGGGAAGGGCCAGAAAAAGGCAGGCAATGTGGCCCCCAGTCCACAGTTTGGAGACCACTGCTCTAGGTTGTCACCCTAGGGAAGGAAGTGTGTTATTGTCAGGATCACTAGTTGAAAATAAAAGAGGGAAAAAACAGAAAAAATACCCATTGCAGTCACCACATCTACGTCAGCAAGCTGCAATATGTTACTTATTTGTTCCTAAGTTTAGATACACTTATATGCATTATTTTAGTCAATGGGTCAGTAGGAGAATCCATATCATACGTGGAGCCTTGAACACTGGTATGGTTTGATAAGATGTGTAAAGTCTGCATATTTTATGGTTCAGTCCCGTACTTTACACCTTGCCAGCAGTTCTGTCTACGTCATGATTTGGTATCAAGATATATTCTACACCTGTATGAATGTTCATATGCACAAGAGCAGCTGCAAAGTGCCCTTACACGCTAAATCATCATCATAAATCTTTACAGCACTATGTGCTACAATCAAACGTCATAAATCATTGTGCATAATAAACCAAAAACATATTTGAAATAAAAATAATTAAAAAATAAAATCCACTGAATCATATACCACCATGTGGCTGACATAAATTGTTCGTGAATCAAACAGACAAAATAAGGGTGCAGTCTTGAAAAAAAACAAGTGTTCTTTTCTCCATTTTTCCTCCAACACCGAGAACTCACCAGGATATGACTACCCACTACAGGTCAGTCATAATATGCTTGTTGTATTTATATGGCACCATCTGTAGCAATCGTACCCACAGAGATGGACGCGATTCAACCATTTTGCTCCAACCTCCATCTTGGCAAAGGATCATCCATCTTGTACAAATATATCTTTCCTCATCCCCCTCCCTCTCTGAGATCCACAGTGACATGTGGTTGGTGTGTGTTGGAAGTGTCACAGGCAGGCCGCTCCGAGTTATAAAACCTCTCTGAGCTGGGTGAGAAACTGTGCAATCTGGAACTCGTAAAAGGATAACCCAAGCCTTCCCCTGAGTTCAAAGACATTCCATAGGAGTAATAAACAGATACCAATTTTAAAATCCATTTTCCCCCTATGTGTCATATCTTGGAATATGAGAGACTTACATAAAAACCAGGCATATCACGAGAAGACAAACCTTTTGATATGTCACACTCCTTGGCTGGAATATATAGGAAAGCAGAGAATTACATCTCTTGAACCATTCAAGTATGTATTTTATGTTTCATATCTAACCGTTCCGCAGATGCGCCTGCATATTAATCTACCCGCGGGTGGAATGTTACTTGTGCCTAGGAAAAGTTATGAGCAAAAATAAGCTATGAGAGATTTTGGTTCTAGCTTGGGTCTCTGCCTAGACACCCCCTCCCCAAATGAGGCCATTGGTCCTTGGCTTCAGAGACACCCCCTGCTGGGGGACCACAAAATAGGCTGTCAGGCCTAAGAGAGAAGTTGAAGAAATCTCCCTTTTAATATCAGAACCAACTTGGGAGACGGTGCCCTTGCTCTGAAACTTGATCTGCTTAACCCAGGACTTTTGCAAAGTACTCTACCTCTCTAAACTTCTTTCTGTTACCTTTTTGCTGTGTTATTGCTCTGTGTGTGTGTGTGTGTGTGTGTGTGTGTGTGTGTGTGTGTGTGTGTGTGTGTGTGTATATATATATATATATATATATATATATATATATATATATATATATATAAGGCTGTAAAATCAATAACTTCTCCTTCTCTCTGGCTGCATTCTTGCAGCCATTGAGAAATACTGTGAGAGCTGTGATTGGTCACAGATTGTCACATGGTACAAGGCTGTTGTGATCATTCACAGCTTTCACTAGTAGTAAGCAATGATGTCAGGAAGTGACATCTTGCTTACTACTATTCATGTGATCTCTGATTGGCCAGTCAGTGATCACATGATCAGGACCTCACACAGAGGTCTCATACAACGATCGGTGTTCCGCTGTGTCCAGAGCGTGCACAGGCAGGGAAGCAGGGAGGACGTTTATAAACTCCTGCAATGCTCCCATCCGGCCTTTTATATACATGGGCCGGACTGGAAGTGGTTAATGAAGGAGGAGTGTGTTTGGCCCTCGAAACGCGTTGATTCTATTCTGCTGTGAATCAATCTGATCATTAAATTATCTTGGACTCTTGGACATTTGTTTGGTGCTCTCATTGGACTGTCTTTGCTTCCTGGCGACCATTATTGAAGGTACATTTAGGCTGCCATTGCTGACCTCTCATTCTAAAAATGGAGGTTGGTACGTTTCCATGTTGATCAAATGGCGTTCACATTTCTTTACGCACCCTGCCACCCACTTTCCCCCGTAATCAGTGACAGTTCAGTCATTGGCCACTGAGTTACCTGCAAGAGACAAGTGGAGAAGTGGAGGCAGCGAAGATCGAAAACTGAAGCCTTAGCCTGGATCTGTGCTGTAACTTTGATAATATCGGTCCACAAGGTGGAAAATGAAATGTTGCATGTTTACAGCCAAATCATCCGTGTACACTGATCATGTATTCCTCCTCCTCTTGTCTGCAGGTTTCGGAATTCCTTTTCACTTAGGATGTGGAATCGACACCGAGGTCTCAAAGCAGAGAATGGTCAGTTCTTGCTGGAGGGGGAGCCGCTGAGGATTCTGGGAGGCTCTATGCACTATTTTCGAGTCCCTAAAGAATACTGGAGGGATCGGATGCTGAAGATGAAGGCGTGCGGCCTGAACGTTCTCACTACGTATGTCCTATAAACAGATGAGACTTTTGATTTGTTAAAGGGGCAGATTCTGGGCTTACGTTTAAATTGCATGATTCATTTTTTTAATTGAATACATTTTCTTTTAAATAAATTTAAGGCAAAACTTTTTTTTTTTTTTTTCCATTTTGGATAGAGCAAGAGAAAGTTATAACCACTGTCAGATTTTTTTTTTTGCCATCTGTGTCCAAATGTGGAGATTTCCCTTTACTTCCTGTCCCATAGCCAAACAGGAAGTGAGAGGAAACCCCTGCAAATAAGGGAATTTCTTGGGGCTCCAAGGTCCATTGTAAGATTTCCCCTCTATTACTTTTCTGAGGACTACCCAAAATTTGGGATTAATTTTACTTTTACTTTCAATAATATTGGTCAACAGGACAAATAGAGAGGAGGAATCTCCTTAACGGGGGCACAGACAGCAATAAAAACTGACAGGTGTTCTAATCCATCTCCACTTTTATCCAACATTTTTTTTTTTTAAAGTTTTTTGCTTTTACTTCTACTTTAACTAAATTGAAAACACTGGCCCATTATCCTTTCATGACACCCTGTGGCATGTTACATCTCACGGCTATTACTGGCAGATTTCCCATGTAAACCTATGGTCCCTGTCTCAGCCTATTAGAAATCCAAGCAAGGGAGTCTCATTCCTTCTGCGGTTTTCTGAAAATAAACACATGCAGACATTAGCTGTGAAAAAAGCCATTCTAATACCCAAAACAAAAATGTAATATATTGCGGCTTAGCAGTCCATAGATGTATTACTTTACATAGATGCATTAGTTTTCATCTTGCTAGTAACAGAATGTCCTAGAACAGTGATGGCGAACCTTTTTGAGCCCGAGTGCCCAAACTGCAACACAAAACCAAATTTTTTATTTCAAAGTGCCAACACTGGAATTAATCACTTGCCTACCGGGCACTTCTACCTTCTTCCTGCCCAGGACAATTTTCAGCTTTCAGTGCTGTTGCACTTAATGACAATTGTGCGGTCATGCAACACTGTAATCATATGCAATTTTTATCATTTTTTCACACAAATACAGCTTTTTTTGGTGGTATTTAATCACACTGGGTGTTTTATTTTTTGCACTATAAATGAAAACCATATGCAATTTTTATCATTTTTTCACACAAATAGAGCTTTTTTTTTTGGTGCTATTTAATCACAATTGCATATGGTTATAGCAAAAAATTAAACACATAAAAGGTTTCCTTTGCTTCTATTCTAAAATTTTGCAAACAGGTAATATTTCTTCTTTGATGTGCGTTGGTGAGGCTGCACTGATAGGCAGCACTGATGGGCATTGATGAGGCGGCACAGATAGGTAGCACTGGTGAGGCGGCACTGGTGAGCACTGATGAGGAGGCACTGATATGCAGGAAATGATGGGCACTGATATGCGGCACTGATAGCACTGACCGGCGGGCACTGCTGGGCATCATTGATGGGTGGCACTGATGGGCAGCACTAATGAGGTGTCACAGATAGGTGGCAGTGATATGCGGCACTGATTGGTGGCACTGATAGGCGACACTGATAATGGGTACTGATAGACAGCACTGATAGGTGGCACTGACTGACATCACTGCTGGGCACTGACTGGCACAACCGATGGGCACTGACTGGCAGCACTGCTGGGCTGCACTGATGGGCACTGGTGGGCACAGGTGGGTGGCACTACTTTGCACAGGTGGGCGGCACAGGTGGGCGCATTGCTGGGCACAGGTGGGCAGAACTTGTGTGTGGCACTGCTGGGCACCGATCATCAGGGCACTGATAATCAGTGACCCTGATGATCGGTGCCATTCCCTGCTCTGACAACTGACGGTTTTCGGCAGTACTTTCCTCACGATCTGATAGCGTGAAGAAAGTGCAGCCGAGAACCGGCATTTGCATTTCCAGGTGATCAGCGTGTCATTGGACACGGCTGATCACGTGGTAAAAGGCCGCTGTGATTGGCCTTTTACCACGTCACGTGATCAGCTGTGTCCGTAGGACACAGCAATCACGGAGATCGCCCGGAGCGCGCCCCCGGGGGTGCGCAGGAGAGCGCGTTCTTCCCCTTCTTCCTGGCGTGCCCACTGAGATGGCTCTGCGTGCCAGCTGTTCGCCATCACTGTCCTAGAATGACAATACTCGGTCACTGCACATTATCTATGGAGGAGCAACTTTTGCCACCCAGGTGTTCCCCCCCCACCCCCCCCCCCCCCCCCCCCCCGATTTGGACTACAAACACATCTCTCTTACATGGGGATGGGGGAATTTGCAGTTTACAGAAGATAGTTGGGGAGGAAGATAACATTGTTTGTGATTTCAGTTCAGCTACCAAGAAGTGACAAGGAAACTACTTTTCTGGTAACAGGTATTTTATGTACTTGCTGAAAATATTCTTAGCCTGAAAAATACAAAATGAATTCAGCCAACACATCAAAAGTCCACTAAACTGCAATAAATTACATTTATTTTCTTAGGCGTAGATATCCTTTAAAGCAGTTATAAAGTTTCCTTAACCCCTTCATACTTAAGGGTAAAACAAATCTTAATGCCTAAGCACAATCTTACAACGTTGACATGTGTTAGTAAAACCGTACATATCATCATAACTACTTTGTACATCCAGGTGGATTATAACTTGTTTTTTTCAGGACAAATTGGGCTTTCATTTGGTGGTAAATGGTAGTGAATATCTCAAGACTTTTTTTTTTTATTATCAAAGGAAACCTGGCCCAAAATTTTGAAAAAAAATTATTTTATTAAATTTAGCTGTGTGTTACTTGTTAGTACTAGGGGCGCACCGGAATTTCAGTGGCTGAAACGTTTCGGCCAAAAACACCCCTACCGGCCATTGGCCGATGTGAAAAAAAGCACTGATACAGGTGCCGAAAAAAACCCCTCCCCGTCGCAGCCTCCTGCCGCTGCTGTCCTTTACTGCTGCCACTGGCTGCCACTTACCTGAGAAACCATCAAAAGATCCCGGCACTGGACATAGAGTTTAGAGAAGGAAAGATGGCCTCCACTTACCTCTATGCCCTTGGAGGACCGGAGCGATGTCACTTCCGGTTCCAACCAATTTTTTTTTTTAAAGCTTTTTTTTTATCTAATGCTTTACATTGTAGAGGAGAGTTGTGGGGTTTTATTTTTTCCCAAAAATATATATTAATTTTTAAAAACTGCGCATTTTGGTTTTCAGCCAAGTGCATTTTGAATTTTCGGTTTTCGGCACCAGAATTTTGATTTCAGTGCACCACTAGTTACTACCATAACCTACCACCAAAGGGCAACCCAAAATAAATTTTCCAGCTCTTGATGATCGCAGAGATACTATATATGTGTATGTTATTTGTTTGTACCTGTACTACAGCCCAGAAACAATAGTGCGCATTTTGTTTTTTTTACCTAAAAAACACGCTGATGCCAATTTATAAAAAAAATAAATAAATCCTGACCTTGACCCAAACACTAACCCTGCTACTGAACTAGATCGAAACCTTGATCTAGGTATTTTTTCTTTGTTAAAAATAAATAAAAAATAAACATTTTTTTTTCCCCCTCTATGCAAGGAGAGCGAGAGATACAATGTATCTTTCTCCTCCATTCATACATAGAGAAAAAAAAAAAAAAAACGGGGGGCGGTGACTGATTACTGCGATAGCCAATCAGAGGCTATCACAGCGATCGTGTGACAAAGGCAAATATGCAGCCCCAAGGAAAAAAGCCCAGTTCCGTGAGGCCACATATATGTGTTAGATCGGCATGAAGAGGTTAAAAAAAAAAAAAATCCACCTACAAGGTAATCACATAATGTACTAGTATGCATTACATACTAGGACATTTTGAGAAGCTTACCTTAAAAAAATCCCTCCAGCGGCGCACTGTTACTGTCTATGAATGAATACAAAGCTTCCTTGGATTGGCTGAGATGGAGATGGAGTTTGTGAAACTCCAAACACAAAACGCGGCAACCGCAGTACCGTGATTTTGCCGCGTTTTGCATTTTCCCCGCGGCCGGTGGTCAAAACGTTCCTATCCTGAATGCGATTCTTGTGCGTTCAGGAGAGGGTGGTTTAACCTCACTTCTCCGCGGCAGCTCCTAAACTCTGGACACATAGGCTTTTATTGCGATTTGCGTTTAGGAGCTTTGGCTGCTAAACCCAAGTTTAGCAGCTGCGCGTGTACATGAGCCCTTAAACTGGTTGACATACCTTTTTGAAACTATCTTTATTTTTTCTTCTCTCCTCCCAGATATGTTCCTTGGAACCTTCACGAGTCAAAGAGGGGAAAGTTTGACTTCTCTGGGAACCTCGATATTTGGTAATGTGAAACATGGAAGTAGTAGCATTATACTACAGTGACGGACATAAGTATTTGATCCTCTGCTGATTTTGAATGTTTGCCCACTCACAAAGAAATGATCAGTCTAAAAATCGAATGTTCGGTGTATTGTAACACTGAGAGACAGAATAGCAACAACAAATTCAAAAGAAATGCATGTCTAACAAATGATGACTGATTTGCATGTTCATGAGGGAAATTTGTATTTGATCCCCTTCACAAAACATGACTTAGTACTTGGTGGCAAACCACTTGTTGGCAATTAGAGGTCAGGCATTTCCTGTAGATGGCCACCAGGTTTGCACACATCTCAGGAGGGATTTTGACTCACTCCTCTTGGCAGATCCTCTCCAAGTCATTAAGGTTTGTACCGGTTTGTGGGCTCCATGATTTCTGTTCCAGTCTGTACTAGCCTTCAGAGCCCCCATTATACCAGCAGGAGTACTATACAGCCAAGCATCCTCACCGTGAGCAGAAAAAAGGCTAAGCGGCCGTCCACCTTTTCCAGAACTTAAAAAAAACAGATTTTTTTCAGCCTCCACTGTACCCATTTTAATGAGGTCAAAATAACCATATCTGAACAACTGTCCACGGACCACGGCCGTACATTCTCTCTCACTCATATAATCTTTCTTAAATCCCACGAAAATCCTTGCATCCCAAACCTGGAGTTTTCTCTTTCTTCATTTCTTTCATTTCTCATCCTTCTCTTTTACAACCGCTCTAGCTTGCGCCAGTATTGCCTTCCCTTTCACCTCCATAAAACGTCCAACCTTCGCTCAGGCTCGGCTCTATAATCTCATTCCCCACATTCTCCCCCCACACACTCATCTCTTCCAAGTATCTTAATCTCTTTTGCCACCATTCATACTCTTCTCGCTCTCTTCTCACTCTTTCACATCCTTTTCTCACACAATAATCTCTTCATTCTCTCTTTCACCCATTCCCACCACTCAACCACACTCCTAAATTCCAACCTCTTTCTCTTCTGCCTTTCAAACATCATACAATACTCTTCCCTTCTATTCACATCCTCAAGCAACTTCACATTCAACTTCCATCCACCTCCATACACTTTTTCAGATTCCATACTCACACAACATTCTATCCGGCCATGGTCCGGGAATGGCACGCGATGAACCGAAAAGGAATCCTGGTTAAAGTCTCTGGAAATAAAACAAAAATCAGTTTGTGAACTCAAAAAAAGGTATATCCCTTTATCTCTCCCCACATCCACCAGCCCAAAGTCTGAATAATGCTCTGCAGGGCTGAAATCCACTCCAAAGACTATTTAGTATCCACAATGAGAGATGTTCAGACCGCCACCAAGAAAAGTAAAAACTCATGGTGCAGTATGTAATAAAAGCATCAATCTTTAATGAAGAAATACACTTACAAGCATGGTGTCCAGACCAACACCAGTATAGACAGCGTGTGCGATGAAACAAATAACGCAGACCCAGCTTAGCCTGCACATGGGCCATACAAGCGGACCGGGGGGTGTGCTGACGTCACATCCAAAGGCTCCGCCCTACGCGTTTTGTCATCAACGTCCTCACCGAGCAGATGGACATGAGACGTCAGTGCTTCATTAAAACTCTCACGCACATTTCCCACATACATCACAAACAATCTCTCCACGCATACCATACCTTTCCCACCATTCAACTTTCGCTTCACCACTTTCTTGCGGTTTAATTTCTCAGCCTTCGAGGACCAGAAAATTGGAAAATTATTCTGATTATTTTTTTCAAACCTCTGTCCTGCGCAGGAAAAACCTGATAAAGGAATACCAGGATGGGAATAATTACTGTCTTGACAACAAGTACTTTGCCTTCAAAAGATAGAGACCTTAGAGTCCAGAAATTTAACTTTTTTTGCACTTTTGCCATCACATCCTTCCAACTCTCTCTCCCAAACAGGTCACATTCGAACTTCACACCCAAAACTCTCACACTCCCCTTACACACTTTCCAGTCACACCGTCCACACTCTCCCCATTCACCAAAGAACTTACACTCACTCTTATCCATATTCACCCGAAACCCACTTGCCATACAAAAAATCTCTAACAACAACTTTACTCTCCTCAGGCTCGCCACATTCTTACACACCACAGTCACATCATCCATATGCGCAATTACCTTCAACATTCTCCCTCCACTCCTGGGTAGCAGCAACCCATTTACACATTTATCCCTAGGAAGCATCCTCAACAACGGCTCAATCACGCAAATAAACAGCACGGGGGATAAAGGGCACCCCTGCCTCACCCCGACTTCACATCCACTCCCTCAGTCACCCACCCCATTCACCTGAATCTTACTTACAATACCAGAGTACAAACATTTTCACCCATTTCATCATCCTTGCAGGTACCCCCATTTTCTCCAACACTCGAAACATAAACTCATGCACTACCCGATCATACGCCTTTTCAAAATCTACAGCCAGTACGGACGCCCTTTGCTTTCGTTCTTTGCAATCGCACAATACATCCCGCAGATACACCAAACTCTCAGAGATTACTCTCCCAGGCACAGCACACGCTTGCTCTTCCCCAACCATTTTGCCAATCACCCCACGCACTCTGTTTGCCAACACCTTAGCTATTAATTTGTAGTCAGTATTTAGTAAAGAAATAGGTCTCCAATTTTTCAAGTCCTTTTTGTCACCTTTCTTGTATAATAACACGATCAGTCCCTCAGCCATACTCTTAGACATACACCCTCTTTCCAACACAGCCACGCACACATCAAACACACACTTTCCAATCACCTCCCAAAACGCACAGTTCCCCTTTTTCATACCATTCAAACCCCCTACTTCCCTCCCCACAAACATCTTCACACAAAACCAACTCCCTTTCCTCACAAAGGGAGTTTGCACTTTCACCCAATCCCACCATTTAATCACACTCTCAAACTCCAGCCTCTTTCTCTTCCATCTTTCAAACATCTTGCAAAACACCTCCCTCACATTCACATCCTCTAGCAGCTTCACATTCAACTTCCATACACCTTATCAGACTCCATATTCACGCTACATTTGATCTGGCCATGGTCCGTGAAAAGCACCGGCTGCACAGCAAATGCACTGGACGTAAAGTCTCTAGATGAAAAAAGAAAATCAATTCTCGAGCTCAAATGTCGGCCAAGAGAAAAAAAGGTATGGCCCTTGTCTTTACCCAAATCAACCAGGCCAAAGTCAGTGCAAAGCTCTAGTAATAATTTAATCCCACCACCCACACCACCTCCCCCCCCCCCCTTCCCCACACTCCTCCCCCCCTTCCCACCCTATCCCCCACTCCCAGCACACAATTAAAATCACCTACAAAAATAAGAGGCTCTCTGCCTCCTAAGAATAGGCTTAACTTTTCAAACAGGCTTATGCGCTCCCATTTCTTTGGGGACGCGTACACATTAATAATTCTAAAGCAACAACCATCCACCTCCACCTTACATAGCACAGCCCTCCCCTTCACAATATGTACAGTATTCAGTATCTTAAACCTCCAATTTCTAAATCAGATGCCTAGTCCAGCATTTCCCTCAGTACCCCCGGACCACACCACAGGGCCATGAGGCCACTCCTCCGGTCGGGGGTCGGGGCTCCTCCTTGATATTGCATTCTTGCAGACAAAGGATGTCGCTGGGAAGCAAAGACAAATATTTAAAAATTGCCGCCCTTCTTGGTGCTGCTTGAATGCTTCTTACATTCAAGGAAGATATGTTGATCTTCATTCACACTGAAAAACAAAGGAAAACATCAGAACAAAGCTACTTGCATCAAGTGGCGGGCTTCTTGCTCTGGCACCTCTGCCCGATTCCAGTGACTTTAGCCCCTGCTACCGCCACCATGCCACTCTGCTGCTCCTCCCCACCACCTGGAGCTGACTTTTTGAAGCCCATAACAGCCTGAAGGTTTTCAACCTGACTGCTACTGGCAAATGACTCCGTGGAAACCACAGAGGAGTCAGAGTCTATGTCAGGGCTCGAAAACTCTAATATCTCCTGAGATGCAGGAATAGCTTTCAAAGCCCCTTTTTTCCTCTTGAGGGTGTCCCTCGATAGGTCCATAACTTCCACTTCACCTGCCCCTCCACCTTCCGCCGCGGTGGGTTGTTCCAGTTCCTTGGACCCCACAGCTGGGACCTGAGCTACCACCGCCGCTTCATCAGGCTTGGGTGTTGGACCAGCCACCTCCACCTCTGCAGGAGCCTCAGGACATTTAGCCGGGGCCACCCCAGCAGCGACCTCAGCATAAGATGGGGTTTTCCTCCGGCGGGCCTGCTGATGTTGTGAGCAGAGTCCATCATGCCCCCCTCCAGATTCGGGCACTGTCGGGCCAAATGGGCATTGCTTCCACATAGATGACATTTTTCGTCCATCCGGACACTCAGCAGTCCTGTGTCCGGACTTGAAACCGTTGCAGCACACTATCCCTGTCTCACACTGCTCCTTAGTATGACCAAAGGCGAAACAGTTGCGGCAGAACTGTGGCTGCCCCGGATACCACAGTACCCCCCTATTTCGCCCAATTGAAAAGGCCTGGGGGGGTGTGCACAACCACCAACTCCAGCGTCATCTTTTCTCAACTGGACATAGTACTTCCGGTGTCCGTTAAATGTCCCTAATATATTTGTTTGCATGATCCCGGCAGATACAAAGGAACAATACTTTAGGAGGAAGGCCCGGATATCCTCCTCCCGGACAAAGGGGTTATACATCTGAATTGTTAGCGGGATCCTTTGCTTGCACTCATTGCTGATGAACGTGACCCCCTACAGCAACGGGTCCTGGGCCTTCTTAGTTTTCCTCAGCATGCAGGTTTGCACATCCGCCATCCGAAAGAATGTCTGATCGAAAAAGCCGGACGTAGGGAAGGCCTGGAAACAAAAACTCTCGATTGGCATCTGCAGCAGCTCCATCACAACCTTCTTTTGCACGTAGTACAGGCCACACTCACAGCGACGGTCC